CCAGCCCCACCTGGTGCAACAGTCCCACTTGGAGCAAGAGGGTTAGGTGTCACACTTCCAGTTCCGGCTGGAGCAACAGTCCCACTTGGAGCAAGAGGATTAGGAGTCACACTTTCAGTTCCACCTGGAGCAACAGTCCCACTTGGAGCGAGGGGATTAGGGGTCACACTTCCAGTTCCACCTGGAGCAGAAGTCCCACTTGGAGCGAGAGGATTAGGAGTCACACTTCCAGTCCCACCTGGGGCAGAAGTCCCACTTGGAGCAAGAGGATTAGGGGTCACACTCCCGGTTCCACTTGGAGCAGCAGTCCCACTCGGAGCGAGAGGATTAGGGGTCACACTTCCAGTTCCGGCTGGAGCAAGGGGTGTAGGGGTAGTGTCTCCAGTTCCACTTGGAGTTAGAGGGGTAGGGGTAACACTTTCTGCACCACCTGGAATAGGAGGTGCAGGAGTCAAAACTCCAGTCTCACTTGGAGCAAGAGGATTTGGTGTCACACTTCCAGAATCAGTTGGAGCAAGAGGGTTTGGTGTCACACTTCCTGTATCACCTGGAGCAGGGGGTGTGGAGGCAACACCTCCAGCTTCACCTGGAGCGAGAGGACTAGGGGTCACAGTTTCTGTTCCACCTGGGGCAGGAGGTGCGGGGCTCACACTTCCAGTTCCACCTAAGGCAGGAGATGTAGGGGTCACGCCTCCAGTTTCACTTGGAGCGAGAGGATTAGGCGTCACCCTTCCTGTTTTACCTGGAGCAGGAGGAGCAGGGGTGAGAATGTCGGTTTCACTTGGAGTGAGAGGGTTTGGAGTTACAGTTTCAGATCCACCTGGAGGAGCAGGGGGTTTTTCGGGGTTTGGTTCTAAAACAGGTGCCTCTGGAACCGGGCTTGTCCCAGGAGAAGGAGTCAGTACACCAGTTCCACTTGGAGCGAGTGGGTTAGGGGTCACGCTTCCTGTTTCACCTGGAGCAGGAGGAGCAGGGGTCAGAATATCGGTTTCACTTGGTGTGAGAGGGTTTGGGGTTACAGTTTCAGTTCCACCAGGAGGAGCAGGAGGTTTTTCAGGGTTTGGTTCTAAAACAGGTGCCTCTGGAACCGGGCTTGTCCCAGGAGAAGGAGTCAGTAAACCAGTTCCACTTGGAGCGAGTGGGTTAGGGGTCACGCTTCCTGTTTCACCAGGAGCAGGAGGAGCAGGGGTCAGAATATCGGTTTCACTTGGAGTGAGAGGGTTTGGGGTTACAGTTTCACCTGGAGGAGCAGGAGGTTTTTCGGGGTTTGGTTCTAAAACAGGTGCCTCTGGAACCGGGCTTGTCCCAGGAGAAGGAGTCAGTAAGCCAGTTCCACTTGGAGCGAGTGGGTTAGGTCACGCTTCCAGTTTCACCTGGAGCAGGAGGAGCAGGGGTCAAAATATCGGTTTCACTTGGAGTGAGAGGGTTTGGGGTTACAGTTTCACCTGGAGGAGCAGGTTTTTCAGGGTTTGGTTCTAAAACAGGCGCCTCTGGAACCGGGCTTGTCCCAGGAGAAGGAGTCAGTAAACCAGTTCCACTTGGAGCGAGTGGATTAGGGGTTACACTTCCAGTCTCACCTGAAGCAGGAGGAGCAGGGGTCAAAATATCGGTTTCACTTGGAGTGAGGGGATTTGGAGTTACAGTTTCACTTGGAGCGGGAGTTTCTTCAGGCTTTGGTTCTAAAACAGGTGCCTCTGGAACCGGTTCCCCACCTTCCTTTGATGTGGGGGTGTTTGTGGATCCCGCATTTATGCATTCAGTGCTTGCTGGTGCTGGAGAACCTATATAATCACAAATTGAAAAATATATAAATAAAAAATTGTAAATTATAAATAATGCTCTTTAATAGAAATGATTCCGAAGATAGACATCTTGTGGTCTGGCGATGTCGTTGGAAAGACGAAATATCATTGACTCTGTCTTTACACTCTTGTTTTATCTTGAATATCAAGAACACAAGATGTCTATCCAGATAAAGTAATGAGCTAATATATACAAGTCGTGGTACTGATTATATCAATTTTGCTCTATTTGTTGGCCGGAAGTATGCTGGATATCTCAGTACAGGTGTGTATGGCGAACGTCGTTATATTACCTTTAACGGGCCGCGGGACATTCGCTTGAAATTGTCCTCTAACGTTTCCAGGAGGACTGTAGCGACCGACAATAAAACGCTTATTTGTGGAAGTGACAACTTCGGCGACACCTACTTCTTTCGAGGCTTTCCAAACAACTTGTGTAAAATGACCTGTTGAACGAAAGAGGGATCACATTCTTTAAATAGAAACGTGTCCCTATAATACATCCATATTCCGCAGAATTTCCTTCCCGACACTCGTATAATTTGCACATAGTAAAAGAGTATTTAAAATAAGAAAAAGTATTTAGAATAAACAATTACTTAATGGTTTCCGTGTTTGGATGGCGTGATCCAAACACGCGGGAATAATGCGAGAGTTGCAAGGAAATTGCGCAAAACACGAGCCGAAGACGAGTGATTTTGTAAGCCTTTCTTAACTCAAGCAACATTCAAATAAACGTATAAATATATATAAATATAATAAATGTATGAATAAATATGTAAATCAGTTACAAACACTAGTGGTTATACTTTTGCAATACAACACAACCACTAGTGTTTGTAACTTGCATATCTATTCAAGCTAATTTTTATGGGGTGTGCATGTGACCTAATTCACGAAATTTGGTTGAGTATAAACCTCATTAATTATTCATGAATCACACAAATAGATATAACTAAATCAATTGATGATTGCTGCTCATGAAAATTGCCAATTGGTAGAAACAAGAAGAAATCTAATCGGCAATTTGTTTACATTTTCAGGCAAAGCCAATGAGAATGTCTAAAATTTAAATACATAATGTAAAACGGCCAATAAAGTACCTTTTCCGAAAGGAAAAAAGATTTTGTTCTGCTTATAGAAGTATAAAATGGCAAAGTATAAAATGGCAGGGTATAAAATGGTAAGTATAGAATGAAAACGCAAAACACGTGAAACAATAATGAACCATTGACTTGTGTTACCAACAGCTTCGAATTTTTTTCCAAGTAGTTAGTTACCAACCTTCAACATTTCAGTAGCAAGGGAAGTCAATAACTCAACAAATTCAAGTACGAAGGTTTCATTAAATACAGATTGTGTGGATTCGTATGATCATATGATCCAGGAAATCTTGGGTAATATTCATAATATTCAGGGGGACTTACCTGTCTCTGAACTAAATCCAGGGTTGTCAAAGTTGTACATTCCTATTTCATCATACCAATTATCCACGGCTTTGACGCATGTTCCTTTCTTCTCTTTTGGAATACCGCTGCCAAATTCAACAAAGAGATTCTCCCCATAACCACTTTTTTCGTGGACAAGATTCGTGCTGTCGGCAGCGGCCAGTTTTTCGGCATATTCCTGAAGAGGTGAAAGATTTTCAGTAACCATAAAGACGGTAGATGTGAAAATAGGGTCTGAATTGCATGTGAATTTGGCAAAAGAATAATTATAGCAACAGTATAAACTCTTAACTGCTTCCCAATCATCGATTTCTCAGATAAATTGTTTCCGGTGCTCGGCCCCTGATTTTTAATTGATTAATACTTATAAGTTTTCAATTAATTGATTAATTTACTGACGTCAAATGGATGCGATGTTTGAAAAAAGCTACTCTAGAATGTACCTACTTTTGTATAAATCCAGAGCCGTAGCTAGAAGCTTAATTGGGGGGGGAGTGTATAATCATAAATTCATCTTATGCCCGACTGATTTCTTTTGTACGCTATTGTTCTTGCGGTAGATAAACACGAATATATGAATATACACCCCCCCCCCAATTAAGCGGTCTAGCTACGGCCCTGTGTATATCTATGTGTACGTATAGCGTATAAGCTCAACGACGTCAGCTGCGACGACCAGCTAACAGCTAGTAAATGAAACATATAAGGCTTATGGAAGTTTTAGACGGCGTTGTCTCATTTTAAAATGCGGTAAATTACAGATTCTCGCGTCTTCTGTAGCACGCCAGCATTCAAAACCTTGACAAGTCCACCTTTAAATTCGGTTTGGTAACCGTTTTACATCTTTTAAGCGATGTGGTTAGGTTTTATTATTGTACAAATTTCACAGGATTTATAATATACAAGAGGTTTACCTTTTCGACCACCAATTTGAAGACGTTTATTTTAGCCGTCGTTGTCGCGTCCGGCGCCGTCCTAAATTTTAAGCTCCCTAATGACACTACGAGGTCTTTCCTATTTGATATATATAGCACTGGCTATTGTACGAAACATCTTTATAAACTAAATAGCATCATAATCTATAGAGTTAACAAAGATTTTCACTGTTACCTTTGCCGAGGCCGCAATCGTGGCAGACCACACCAAGGGTGGAACTCCGTGAGCCTCTCTCTTTTGGTTGTGTGCACACAGACACTCGTCGTTGTAAGCATCTCCTGTACTTGTTCCAGGGGTTGTACTAGTACTCTCTGGTGTGGTACCAGTACTCTCTGGTGTGGTACCAGTACTCTCTGGTGTAGTACCAGTACTCTCTGGTGTGGTACCAGTACTCTCTGGTGTTATACCAGTACTCTCTGGTGTTATACCAGTACTCTCTGGTGTTGTACCAGTACTCTCTGGTGTTGTACCAGTACCCTCTGGTGTTGTACCAGTACTCTCTGGTGTTGTACCAGTACTCTCTGGTGTTGTACCAGTACTCTCTGGTGTTGTACCAGTACCCTCTGGTGTTGTACCAGTACTCTCTGGAGTTGTACCAGTACTCTCTGGAGTTGTACCAGTACTCTCTGGTGTTATACCAGTACTCTCTGGTGTTGTACCAGTACTCTCTGGTGTTGTACCAGTACTCTCTGGAGTTGTACCAGTACTCTCTGGTGTGGTAACAGTACCCTCTGGTGTTGTACCAGTACTCTCTGGTGTGGTAACAGTACCCTCTGGTGTAGTACCAGGACTCTCTGGAGTTGTACCAGTACTCTCTGGAGTTGTACCAGTACTCTCTGGTGTTGTACCAGTACCCTCTGGTGTTGTACCAGTACCCTCTGGTGTTGTACCAGTACTCTCTGGTGTTGTACCAGTACTCTCTGGAGTTGTACCAGTACTCTCTGGAGTTGTACCAGTACTCTCTGGTGTTGTACCAGTACCCTCTGGAGTTGTACCAGTACCCTCTGGTGTTGTACCAGTACTCTCTGGTGTTGTACCAGTACTCTCTGGAGTTGTACCAGTACTCTCTGGTGTCGTACCAGTACTTTCAGGGGTGATTCCTGTCGTGCCAGCGCCGTTCGACGGAGTTTCCGGTGTTTCGGGAGTTTCCGGCGTGGTTGCAGTTGTACCAGCACCTTCTGGTGTTGTTTCTGTTGTTCCAGTGCTTTCTGGTGTGATTCCTGTTTCGCCAGTGCCGTCTGGCGGGGGTTCTGTTGCTCCAGCACCTTCTGGAGTGACTCCCGTGGTACCAGTACTTTCCGGTGCAGTATCTGTTGTTCCAGTGCTTTCCGGTGTGATTCCGTCTGGGGGTACTTCCGTTATTCCGGTACCTTCTGGCGTGATTGCGGTACTATCTGGTGTGCTTCCCGGGGTAGCTCCTTTTGCACCAGTACCTTCTGTACAAAAGAAAACCAACAGAATACTTCACGACCATGAATGGGGGGAAATATAGGCTAGAAATTTACAAAACTAAAACAAATATGCAACACATAATTGCAATTAAATTGCAATAAATTCTATGTCCGGATTAATTAGTTTAATCCCCAGTCTAATCGTTGAGGGTTAGTAGTTGGGTAAGCATTAGGGTTAAGTTAGGACACAAGTTAGGATTATAGTCTCGATTCTAGAGATGGCCAACAACCAATAATTCAACAATACGCGTTTTCCAGTGGGACTCATTAGGTTTTTAAGTTTTGTAATGATTTTTCAAATTTTACCTTCTGTCACCCAATTTATTGGTCATTACGTCATCATGCACGATAAAAAATGTATCAACAATATGTTTCAGGGGGAGGAAAATTGCTGCATGGAACAAGTCGGAGGACGTGAACGTCAAAGACGACGTAAAAATGGCGAGTAAATAGCGTGGCATGTCTATATTACACGCATCATGCCATTTATTCGTCATTTCCACGTCCTCTTTGCCGTTCACGTCTCCTTCCACTGAAAGTGTGTTTAGATGCATGCATGGTCCTCTATCGGACCCAGTTCAAGCCAAAAGGAAAAATAGTGTTGACGTTGAGGCCACGTACCTGGTACCAAAGCGACATGAAGGTTTCCCAGTTGACCGGCATCTATGGCTAATCTCAACGTATCGTACATATCTTGGGGGAAAATTCCCTTGGTTGTCAATATAAGATCAGCTATGATACTACCAGGTCTAAATGAACATAAAGATAATTAAACATAGTTAGACAGTTCTAGCGTATAATTTCATTATTTCAATTATTGAAATTTTTGGCGCTGTTCATTTCCGAAAAATTTTTACTAGAAGGTGCTTCGCAGATGAAAAGAGGTTTCGAGGGTACATGATCTGCCATTTTTTGCCAACACGTTTGCCGTTTGCGATTCTATTTACTAACGCGGCAGAAAATGTTAGGACAGAAAAATATGCACAGGGCAATAGACCTTTTCGGTGATTTCGTCACAATATTTTAACATCACAACGTTTTAAATTTAGAACCACTCTAGATGAAATGGAATTCAAGTTTTACTCTCACAAGCTATGTGCAAAGATGCAAAACATCCTTCTTCAACACATACATGAAATTTTTTTTTGTTTTGACCAATAAATGTGGAAATAAGCCATAACACGAGAGCGAGGCTGAGGGACCAAGACCGCGAGCCTCGTTCTCGCGTTATGGCTTATTTCCATACTTATTAGTCAAAATGAAAATTATTTTTCATGCACGGGTTATGGAAGGATGTTTTGCATCTTTGCACATAGCTTGTGAGAGTAAAACTTGAAATCCATCTCATTTAAGGTGGTTCTAAATTTAAAACGATAATGTTGTGACGTAATTACCGAAAAGGTTTATTTTCATTCATGCATTTTCGAGTATTCCAACTAGCTATATAAAGCATCTTCTATATATCGTAAGTTTTATCGAGATTCTGGGATTTTATCGATGGAGCTACATGCAGCTAATTCAGAAAACGTTGTTCTTCACAACGCTTTAATAAAAACCTATGCCATGTGGAAATACTTGCTTCTAGGCTAAACATTCCGAAATCGGATAAATCCATCCTCCCTTGTATGTTTAACTAAAGTTTATATGTTTTTTGTAGGACAACTGTTGTGCCGCCACATTTTGTTTTTTCCCAGCTGTTTAATGTTCTCGAGCAGTTGGTTCGCTCGCTTCGCCCAGAAGACGAAGAAACGTTGCGCGATCCATTAACAAGCGACCAAATATACCAATGATATATATCTCACCTGAAACCCGACACTTCAACATTCACCAACGCAGATCCCTCTTGGAACAATTGGTTTATCTATAACAAAGACAGAAACTGCATGATTGCAAAAAAGTCTGTTTTTGAAATAGCCAATATAGTAAAAATCGAGCGCCAATAGTCACAAGTGCTAACATCCATGTTGAATAGCCTGAATCCTGAAAACAACCTTACCGCAATGTCTACAGTTGCATGCCATCAATTATTAAAATAATTAGCAACTATTTTAAACTATTTTAAACTATGTAAAACTATGTAAGGTAGATAAGTTGAAACGTGAAAGTATAAAAACTCTAGACAGTGTAATATGTAAATATTTCGACTCTTTGAATAAGGCTACCATATAAAGAACTTGCTAGTTTATTCAAAGTTTTGTTAGTTTTTTGCACTAACCAAGCTGTACTTACAGTGTTAATCAATTCATTTGATAATTCTTCGAATTGGGCACTCTCGGTGTCTTTGTATTCTTCACTAAAAACCTTCTGGGTTAGGCGTATTGTCATGGGGTACCTGTACACTAAATTGACAATAAAGAATTGATGCAAATATCAGTTGCAAAATATCATGCAGACAATATGGTAGCGAATTTTGTGGGGAATATTTATAGTCTAGTGAAATTATATAAATTTGTTAAGCAAGGTTTCAGATCCTTTTATTTTCGTGGGAAGTTAATTGAGATCTTCTTGAAGAAAATTGCTTGCTTAGTAAACTTAAAGCATGCAAAATCCAGGGGACTTTTTTCCAAACTTCAAAATGCTTCCATACGCGAGTTTAATTACTTTGGTTTACCTCTTAAGCTAGGTATAGTAATATGGTTACCCATTTTCCAGGCAGGTTGGATATGACATGAAGAATTATCAAAAGCTGGAGTTTCTTGATGAGGCTGATATTATTGAGGATGATATTATTCTTATTATTATTAGCATGAGAAAATTACTGGATGCTGAATGATTATAACTTTGTTTGCTCGATTTGTTTTGATTCAGATTGCCGTTCCTTGGGACGTCGACACCTGTGACGTAATAACGTAGGATACGAAGCTTTCTCACACGTTACGACGTAACAGCGTGCATGAAGAAAGCTGTATCCCACGTTGTGACGTTACTCGTTGGACGTCACGATTTAGCACATTGCAACGAATTCCATGATAGCCAAAAGGCCCTGGGAACGAGTTTGCCAGGATAGTTATCTTTGCCAGAATAGTTAAAATACTCTTTTAAGACTTCGTCCAATCTATGCAATAGCATGTAGTACATCATATACTTTAAATAACTATGATTTTGCTTACGTTTGTTCGGATTCGATAAATCGATTTTGCAACACAGGGGAGCGTAAATCACATCACGAATAAATTTCTTCGATAATTTCTTTCCTCGTTCCAATCGGATTACCTCACCGCGTCGTAAACTAAAATTAGAAGAAGTTCTTTTTGAAACTAAACTGATCGCGGGCGTCAATTCTGGGGATTGGGGACACGTCCCATTTTGGAGCGTCAATTATCCCCCAATTTTTACCATCGTGTTTTTTTTATCGAATCAATGATTCGATAGAATCATTTCACTCCATGTGTAATAAAAAAAATATAATACAATAAACCAGTTGTAGTTAACTTTTTACTATAGTTAGTGGCAAAATTGGCCAATCAGAATCGTATATTTTCTAGTTAACTACGATTAAACTATATACCTAAAATGCAGTTAAGGTGGTCTTATACACAAAAAACACGATTTATTCTGTTTTTAAAATTTCAAGGGTGCCAACTTAAATGTCTCCCCAATCGATCTTGAATATTTTTTTTGAAAAAAATGTATAAAAAACGGGAGAATTAAACGAAAAGTGATCTTAATTAGGGTTTTACCCTGAGCAAATAAAAGGGGCTTCTTAGCTAACTAAAATTCTCATTCCTCTTATTTTGGGAAAAGATAACTCAAAAAGTAATAAAGCATCATGATAAAACTTTCATGGTAGACTTTAAAGACAATTTGGTCGGACGTGAACCAATAAAAGTGTTGTATTTCGTTCAGTCTAAGTGAAATAACGACTGTTTATTTGAGATAGGTCGTAGAAGTTTTGTATTTATAGCTTGTAAAACGTTTAATACTGCAAAAGTTTTATATATTCGAAGTTCAGCTCCGAGGCAAAAATATTTAGAACTAAATAAAACCAATTACGTCGTTCTAGCGTTAAAACCTAGTTTGTTATCGTTTTTACAAAAATCGTCAAATTTTCCACCATTAGGTGTGTCTGGTACGGGTAACTATAGTGATTGAAGACTCTTACCAGTCTTTTTTGACTCAGAGCAACTTGGCTTGCAATATGGCATGAAAAGATTTTTATATTTTTCAAAATAAAAGAAAAAAAGATTTGTATAAGACCACCATAAGAGTTTTATACAAGAGGCCACGGTTTTCATATGTCGTGATTCATCGGCGATGTTCTACGATCTATTGTCCGTGATCCGCGCAACGAGCCCCATTGATCTTAATTTGAGTGGTATCGCGTTTAACCAAGAACTCGCTCCTTTATCTCCTGATTGCTTTACCAAAAACGGTACATCTGGGGATAGTGTTGCATCAATAGTATCCATTCATGACTTAACAGTTTCCGTTTTGGTTGCTTGCTGGATTCGCTTCAGATCATCTATAGACTGCTCTATCCGTTCCAGAGCCTCACTTTGACATTTGATTGAACTTACATGTTGATTGGTAAATAACGTTGAAGCTGCATATTGCAGGGGAGCTTCCATTCTCAAATTCGGTGCGCCCAAACCGCCTTGAGCTGGTGTTAGGGTCACAAGTTCACGAAGTTCACTCGCAAGGGGTTCTTCTTGGCCAAAAAGTTGTGGTCAGAGAATGTCATTCAATGTTTTGCGTATCGGGTCTACATACTCTTCGAATACCAATTATATAAGTGTGTCAATGAAGTATATCATTTTCTTCGATAGGCAAAGGATTTTATGCAGTAATGACCACCGACAATGATAGCCATCGCCGATGAACTACGACATATGAAAACCAGGCTTAAGGTGCCGAAATTCCTGTTATTTATAGTCCTATATATAATCCGTATTCTATATATCAATATAGCGATAACGTAAATGTATTTGGAAACAAATTACTCACAGGTTTCTGGCTTTGAGACGCAGATACTTGCGATAACTGCAATGGCAAACCACGCTGGGCCTTTTAAGAAATGCTACGTGTCTCGTCTTACGAACCGCGCGTTGTCGTACAGGAAAAGGACGTACCGCTTTTCTTCCAATGCGAATGCCATTAACAGACATACAGCAGGCTAAAGGATAGAAACTTGAAGCGGTTAATTTAGGTTTTTGCCCTATTTACCATGCATATCAGTAAACAAAGCCTTGTTTTAAAAGGCGCAATATAGAGATCCCAAAAATCACATCTCCATTTCGGGCGACTTCGATTTGAAGACTACCTGGCCTCGGTAATATACCAAGCTATGGTTTAGTCTTTAGACTAAAATGTAAACATGTTGAAAAATACAATTTACGTTGACTCGCGTTTATAAGAGAGCTCTAGGAGAGAGAGTTAGTTAGAATGGCCTAACAGCTACTGGGGTAAAAGCGATAAGTATATGTATAATACTGTCAATTGATGATATGTTCGAAACAGCCTGCATGTTCTGGCCAGAAAACTGATCTCGCAATTGCATTATAATTATAAGTTATAACTTATAGGGAAGAATTTATCGTGGTAGGCTATCTCATTGTACGGCTTTTCTTAAAAATAGAATTTAATCGTTGAGATCAAACGATATGAAGCGATAAGGCAATTACATGTAAACACAAGCATTCACCGTGATAAAAAAATACAATTTAATTGTTATGCCTTTAAAAAATAACAATGTTTTTACCTGCCACAAGAATGAATAGGCCAATAGTAGCATAGGAAAGGCCCATCTTCTATATTTACGTCTTCGAGATGTTCGAAGAACGTAATTATAATATATAAAGTTGAAAAGAGGAAATACCTGTGCTCGACAATAGACGTTCCTCGTTAATTCAGCGTTTAATATTTGACAGTTGGACAAAAAAGCACTTGCAGGGATTGCTAATGAACACACAAATAACCTGCAAAATAAGGACATGCTATGGTTAATCGCATTGAGATGTGGGAAAAGCAATATTATAGCGAGTGTTAAAACAAGTTTTTGCATAGCCTCATGCATCAAGCTAACTGTTATTATTAGTATTTTAATATAGGTATACAGTTATGCGATGGCGAGTACAATTAGGGATTAATAGTACGAGTGATGTTTGAAAGTTTTGCAAAAATTCGACAAGCCGCCATCATTTGTTTATTGTTAAATAGCATGATAAAATCGTCAAATTTTAGTAGCACTTAACCGCCATCTTTTTGGGTTTAATTTCTAATGCAAGCATCATATAGGGTTTTTTTAGGCTTGCCAGACTTTTATCCAATATTTGGTACCTTTGGTATAGCAGTTTCGCCTACGTTTCTGGCCTTTTCTATAGTTCCTCCAGGACTGTAATATAAGATTATACACGATATAGTCAGTTGATTAGTCAGTTGGCTTGCAACGTATGGAGTCAGAAAATCACGGAGGAAAACAACTATGTCAATACAGTAATGGCAATGTCAGTACAGCTTCATCGACTGATACCAAATACGAATACAATGAACGACGTAATATTGTCGAATGCTGCAAGCCTGCAGCTTATACCACAATAATCATTATACCATTTTTGTGGATTACGATTATCTGCCTATTTGTTAGCCTTTAAATCGCGGTATTCATCGCAGCGTAAATCTATTTACTAATAACGAGCTTAATATTGGTGGTTCAGCTATAGAGTCGATTAGAATTTCATAAATTATTGTCAGCTTACCGCAAAGACAATTCGTTTCAAAGAAAATCAATCGGCAAGAAGACGAAAATACCCCGAAAAATTTGTGTCACCTGCATGTTCAATGCGACCTATAACATATTACGTAGTCAAGCATCGCAGAAGTCCTTTACACTACAAAAATTTAGAACGGTTTCTTAGTCCATATAGTTAACGGAAAACTGATATGGTATGGAAAGCTGCAAAGTGAAGAGCTTTTAATTCAAATTTGAACTGATCTTTGTTGAAAAGTACCTGAAAGTGCAGAAATCCTTTGCGCCAGGAGCGGTTTATTCCTTGTTTATTGATCGCTCTAAGAAATCCTTTTAATAATTACGTCACATTTCATTAATTTCAATTAGAGATGCGACACCCACAAGAAAGGAGGTTCCAAGTTTTTGCTCCGGAGCATCGTTTTCCTGTTGTGGTTAAGTTCCACATCTACAGTTTTTAAAATGAAAATTATTTTTCATTTTAAACCATAGATGTGGAACTAAAAGAAAGATGATTTTCATCTTTCTTTGAATACATCTTTTTAAAGTAAAATTGAAATCTGACATTATTTTGCATTAGAGGTTCAAAAGGTCTTAATTTCGAGTGGAGTTAAGGCTAATTTCCACTCCGGAAAACGAGCAGCGGATCGGATCGGATTTTTTTCCGAGCTGGTCCGATCCATGAAGTGATTTCGGATCGGATCAAAAAAAGTTAAAACTATTTAAGCTTTTTTTATCCTGTCTCGGGCGCTTTCGGATCAATATAAGCCAAAAATTTCAACAGACGGCGCACGCGCGGATTATCTTTCGTTCCGATCCGACCCGATCCGTTGCTCGTTTTCCGGAGTGGTAATTAGCCTTTATACACACTTCAAATTCAAGCTATAGCTTATATATAAGAACAGTTGGACTATAGGTCTTCCGACAGGAATCGAACCTACGCTTTTTCCTTTGCCGGTGCAATGCTCTTGCCACAATGGTTCGGCATCGCAAAAAGCTTAGATTCGATTCCTGCTGGACGACCTATAGTTCAACTGTTCCTGGCTTGAATTTGAAGTGTGTATAATTCCACTCGAAATTAAGACCCAATTTACCTGCATCGAGTGAAGTGCCAAAAATCATAATTATTTTGCATTATTTTTAATAATATTAAATATACAGTGGTGAGACGTCATTTTATGGGCATGACATCGTTTAAAAAAAATAATTTATCTATGCATCGTGATTTGACTACATACATGTACAGTGTAAGTTCAGCAATATTACCAATATAAATCTATTCGTACTGAAGGGCCGTGAGTACTGAGTGTGATAATTGGAGAAAAGTACAGCGTATATTGGTACAAACTAGTAGTAGTCTTCAGTGACACGTGAAAGTCATATCGACGGTCTGCCCTGGATCCAGCCTTACGACCTGCGTGTGGCTCCTTGGAGCACCCCATTGACCAGCAGTGACCGCGTAGGTGCCAGGCGTAAGTTCGACATGAACATCTTCGGATTTTTGAAGCTGGAAAGATTATATATACACAGCAATGAGCAGGGTCGAAAGGTGCCGAAATATATCCCAAGCCTTGCCGTCATAACGTGTCCACGATTTCACAAAATCGCGAGGGAACGGATAACTGCATTTGCGAATTGGGTACAAATCTGACCAGGCCTAAGGGTTGTATATAACAAACAGTATTTCCGCATAAACTCACCGGATTTCCGTATGTGACAGATGTATATTTGGAATGATGAAATCTCTTGATATGTTCTTCGTCGTGTTCGTCATGAAGGGGTGAGCATTTGAAATATCTCTATGTGAAAAAAGTGGCAAACTGATATAATTGCTGCATTTTAACCAGGGTTCATCATGCACACAAATGTCAAGCAAGTGAATTCAAGGCAATGCAAGTTGGGAGAGTAATATGAACTGTACAGCATGACAATTATGTCAGTTTTGCACTCAGACTGTTATTTACTTAATGCATGCTCCTATAGATAACGGTATATACGTCACATCCCCTGCTTAACATGGGTGGAGAATGAAATCCACTGCCACCTACGGTATTATTACATTTTCAGTTCTCTGTCATAATAGAATGGACTAACCCGGCATTGTCGACTGGTGACGGACATATATTGCAGAACACTGGAAAATGCATCATCTATCCTCGTATGGATTTGTGGATCCTGGAATGAAGATAAAGATGTAAAAATCATATACCTGTAACAGTAAAATGCTTAGTTTTAACAGTAGGTAAAATGACTTGTATAATGTCCTAAGAAAGTCAAGATAATAGCCCCATACTATATAATTTATTTGTTACCGATATATCTAATGATCAAAATTTTTCCTGGCTTCCTATTGAATAAGATACCTATGTGAGTGGGCATCAAATTGCATGAAACAAGCAGGGTGAATGTGAATTTGCTAACTTGCACAATTTGCTTACTTGTTTGTAGGAAACATTGCACCAGAAAGGCTAGCAAGGTATCCAAGAATATTATTAGGGATGCACTGAATAGTGATTTACTGGATATTTTGAACATTATATACTTAAATTATATGGCTGCAAGCTAGGAGGGATGAAGAATCATTTTGTTTCTTAGAAAATGCAAAAACCTTGTCTTGATATACAAGAATTGTTACAGAATGATTGAGACTTCATCTCAATGATTGGTTTATCATCTCAATGGTTTATTCATCTCAATGATTTCCCTCAACTTCTTCAATATACTAGCTGTGAATGATTTTTTTATTGAAATTGTATAGTTCTAATTGCTGTTTTACGGTAGGCATGTTGATGTTATTTGTAGCTTCAATATTCTAAAGCTATAATAAAGACAACAAATTATCTGGTATCGATCTGGCTAGATAAAGGTAAATATCAAGCTGGAAACTGTTGACTGTACATATCCAGTGCACCTTAAATATTGTCTCTCAGCAATAAAGGTATCAAGTGGAATCCCTGTGCAGATATCAATTACATTTACTTTATTTCTAATTGAAGGGAAAATTACAAATAAATAATTTGTGGTCTTTTAGCTTCAGGATTTCAGTAATATATCCCTATAAAACTACATTCTGCATAGTTAAAACCAAGTTAAATCAGAAATACATGACTCCGATTAGCCATTTTCTCCCAAACTACAGTTGAAAGTTAATTAGTCTTTCATACAACTGGCCCCTGGTCTAAAAATGTTTCCTTTTTGCCCAACTGTGAGAATATTGTTGCAAAAGAACTTGCTGATTCCCTGTTGAGTGTTGACCATGATTTGGAAATATGAAAATACATTGTCAGCACTGATTAGGAAACATCCAAAACAATGTTGCTGCAATATTGTTGTTCCGAGTCAGCCCATGAATCAAGTCTTACAAGCAAAGCCCTTGGCTAGACGTTGGAAAGTTGCAAATTACTGCGACTATTGTATTTTTGCTACATGTTGAATTAATTAGATAAATGGTTTTCCCAACAGTTTGCCATTTAATAGGTATACTTTTACTACCTGGTCAGCATTGATGGAACCTTCAGTCGTGGCTGGCCAGTCAATCTTCCGCATTCTTGCTCTTGCTAATGTTGCTGTACTTTGACGACCAGATCGACATAGTACGCAGTTGATACGCTCACCTCGCTAGAAGAAGACGAGCAATCGCAAGAAATTCAATATTTCGAAAATAAACATCAAACACATTAGCTACAAAATAAAAATTTCAATAATCCACCTTATCCGGCATGCAGCAAACCAGTAGCAATACCAACTGTTTCGTTCGATTATTTTTAGTTCCTTTGGACTCTTCTCTTCTTGTGAATTGACGCGAACAAACAAACTCAACAAAACAGGAATTTCGCGGCAATTTGCTGAATGCTCGAGCACAGACCGACAGGGACCGAAGTGAGACCGATTGGGGTCCAATGAATAACGAACGAAACACGTATGAGATAGAACCAGAGATAGAACCAAGAATTGTTCTATTATTTGATTTCTATATCTGTGTGATCTATCGCACTGTCTATCGACTCTATCGAATATTTTTAAATTATAAATCAAATCTTAAATCATAAAGACATAAACCATCCTATTCTACCAAAATAGAACTACCATTTGTTCTCTTTTTGGGCAGGAGCGGATATTCGCTGACTACCACTCTGCCAGTGATGATTCTTCTTTTAATATTTTACACAATAATTTAATAGTCAAAAAGATTCGATAAGAAAATGATAGAAGAAAAAGTACCGGTGTGGTGACTGTGGTATTTTAATATATCGTTGCAAATTTTATTTCATATATACCGGATATGCTCATCACAGGATACCACAAATTAACATAAGTTATCACATATATTTACATGTTTCCATGTCAACGGACGCTTTGTAACACGACAACTCGTCCTGTGTTTGACAACACGATATTCTTTATTTAATACTGTACATTGTTATGAATGGGACTTTATAAATCTCGTGTATTTTATATCAAGTTTTAGTGTACAAAATAGTCTCATCGTGTTTTATTATACGATGTCTTTTCAAGTCGGACAGAATATATTTGGTCGTATAACTGAGAACAATGTATATTTTCTCATTGACACATCCATATCCATGCATCATCAACTGGGATTTGTTAAGAACCATCTCATCGAGGTATACATTTTAGTTTCTACGTTCCTATTGACATACAACCGTAGTTCAACATTTCAACGAATAAAAAGCTTTATAATTCACTTTAAATTCTTAAATTATATGTACTAGCTACTAGGCCCTGCATGGGAGATTATAATATAAGACTCTTGGGATTGTATATTTCTTAATTCTTAATATTATCTGTCGTACAGTACAAAAAAACACAATCTAAGAGCTCACCCATGCTATAATTTACCGATGCTGTTGTCTCATTTAATTGTTCGGCAGAAATTACTGCTGTATGAAATTGCGACCTTCCAAGCTCTCAAAGAGCCATAATTCTCCAAAAAAATTAATTAGAATCTTAGAGTCTTGTGAATGATATCAATAATATTTCACACTTAAACAGTCTGAACTCTGAATATACCATATTTCTCTCATATTACCCCCAACCTTATACTCAGGGTGTCAATTTTCACTGTTGACCTACGTCCTAGCGTGAGTACCCTGGTAGAAATCCTATATAAGATCCTATAAGATCTTATAGGATCCTCTAGGATTCTTTTAAGATCCTATATTTTGCTTACTCATGCAGTTACTCCTACTTAACAATTAAGCTTGTCCCTCTTGTGAGAGGATGAAATTATTAAGCTCCCACCCTTTTATAATGAAAAAAGTCTTCTTATCAGATTTATTACTTTGTAGTACTAGTGATATACATGAAAGTGGTTATTGATTAAACAACTTGACATTCAAAGTGTTGGAATCCCCAATAATAAAGTTATATCATATTATACGTTGTCTAACATGGCAGGAAATTATCTACAAAGTGATGAATATGTATATGAAAGCCAAGTTAGGGTCAACCTTTCAAATATATTCCTCCTCTTTTAGAATCTGGGAACAAAAGACCATGTATCAAATCAATTAGGAGTCATTAAGAATCATCAATCATTAGTTAATTGAATCATTCAGGGAACTATAGAATAGGGTAATACAAACACAAGCACCAGCCTCGATCAGTTCCAATGTAACTTGACTAGCTTTTCAATTAGATTGTGATATTTTGTCCTTTTTAAATACAATTTCCCTTTCCTCTCCAAAATAATAATGGAGGCACATGGCTTGCTTGCCATCATCAAATTCAGGAGTAGCAGGATTGAGTTTGGAGTGGTTGGGGCATGCACATGCAGTGGTAATTTGCAAAAAGCCATACAATACAATTTTTTACCATAGCAACTACATGCAGAGGAAACTTAATTTCTATATGGTAGCTAGCACACGGATTCCCCACTTATCCCTGTAAGCTGGCAAAGTGTTATATAACATAGCAGCTATACCCCTGCAGGTCCATCACCCCTGATGATCCCAATTGTGTTTTAATCATTACATACAAGATTAAGCTGAAGCTGAAATCTTAACTAGTACTAGTAGTTCGGATATTAAAATGATCGCGCCCAAATTAGGGAGCAGTCATTATTAATGCCGGGGGGTGGGCCGGAAGATATTGCTTTACCTGTGGTAAATTTTTCATGGCCCCTCACTATTTCAAGGAAAAAATTTATGGCCCCCCCTGTTAGATCAACTAACTTTTCATAGCCCCCCCCCCCCATGGAAAGCGAACGAGTTATTGTTTTTGGAAAGAGCTGCTGCAGAAGCTAATTCAGTGGAAATACAATTGGCTAATATCAAGGGTGATGTGCAGGAGAAGTTTGACCATCTAAAAAGAAGAGTGCCTGTGGATATTGCTTCTAATTGTGAAAGTAGCCGCTCCACAAGAAGAAAAAAAGAGAACAAACGAAAGCATGATAAAAGAAAGGAACAAAGAAAAATATGCAGTAGTGTCAAGATCTTGGATGCTATTCTCCTCGACCATGCAAAGAAGAACAAGTTCATAGAGCAGTTAGAAAAGTCAGACTTTAGTTTTACTATAGAAAAAGAAGATATCAACATGGAACACTTGGGTTTATTAAAACCCAAATTTCACGAGCATGGCATCAAACTGTTATTAGAACAAGGTGTTTTTGCCAGTGATGCTTGTGAACTAGTTCAGAAAGTGGTTAACAGTTATAGTGAAAAGAAAAAGATTGTAGGACCGAAAAAAAAGAGAAAGGTCACAACAAAGAAAAATCAGATGTCACTTTTTACAGCTTTTGGCAACGCCAAAAATTAAGTGAACATTCATGTACCTCGGATTCTGATTTGGACTAATTAGTATTTTATGCATTTCATTGTTCAGAATTGTTGTTTCATGATTATTAAATAATGCATTAATTTTTGGTAGCCCCCCCTACTTCTCTCTGGAATTTTTTGTAGCCCCCCCTAAGTGGTTACTACATTTTTGGTGGCCCCCCCAAATATCTTCCGGCCCACCCCCCGGCATTAATAATGACTGCTCCCTTATCACAGTGTACGTCCCAATCCATTAAAAAATTAAACTGTTTGCATCGAAATATTTAGTCAGCTTATTAGGTGTTTCGCCTTTCGAACAACCGGCCCCAGGTTTCCACAGTTCACTCCCGACCTATACGTAAAAAAGAAGTAAAGCTCCGACTCTCCGTATTGTTTTTTCCATTCGTTTCTATCGGATGTTTTACGAATGTTTTATTGTACCAAAAATTCACTGCCGTAAAGTTGGATAAGCCTGCTTAAACCAAACAGTTGTTTATTCGTTTCCTCTATGACTACGCATGACTCTTATTCTATGTATATACCTTATTTGCTTTGTCTAATTCCTGAAGGTTCTTACAAGACGTGCTATTCTTTCGCAAGATACCATGTTCAACATAATTCAGTTCGATGAAAACACATGCAAATGGACAGAAAGACTTGTGAAATGCGATACGGAAACGGTAAATATCGCCTCTCGATGGATAAACAACCTGACTTGCGGTACCTCAACCGACACTATGACGGCCCTGCTCCAGGCATTCAGCGACCCCAACATCGAGGCTGTTTACATGATCACAATTGGATTACCCGACCAACGGCCAGCTGTAATTCTCGAAAAATTGAGTTCGATGTCCAGTGCCGTTCCAGTGCATTGCATTTATTTGAAAGGGACCTATTCAGATCCCGCTGTATGTGAATTTCTCAGAAGCCTCGCTGAGCAGACGCACGGATCGTTTCATATCGTAAAATTGTCGCCTCACCTTGGAAAGGTCGAGCAAGTTCTTCCTATTTTTAATTCTGCTAACGAACGCTACGAAGATAATGGTAAGTTGGCAAGCTGTTTTTCCAACCTATATAGTTATATGAAAACTGTTGTTCCAAAAGTTACGTTACTGATGAAGTTCGCGAATTTGAAACTATACAAAACAAGTACCTACATATTGTTAAAAACTTTAGTCTTATTCCTGTTACACGGTGCAATTTTTTTTGCAACTCGCAATAGAATTCTTTTAAGAGATATGTAAATTTGGCAACCACGAAACCTTTATGTTTATTGCAATCCATGGACGTTTCTTATGCTTATATTGCAAAGGTCTTCGTCTGCAAGAAAATTTGGCAAGTTGCAAAGGCCTTTAGTGTGCAAAATTTCTCATAATAGTATGGCACTCAGATGAGAGTTACCCAAATCAGCCTCATACCCAGGTGCCTCACTTGAATAAGATAAAAGCGGTATTCAGTTATACATGCCTCCTATTCACTGATCTCGATGTATCTGTTTGCAGTCCTTTGTGATATCGAATAAAGCGTCTGGGTACGAGGCTCTTTCTGAATAAAATTATCGCGAGTTGTTGTAGCAGTTACATTCTGCGAAAGTTTGACGAAATTCAACGTTCGTTCATTTTTTTGTAGATTCTACGCAGGATGACAGCAAGCCTTACCCTAACCCAAACTCCACGCTGGGTCGTGATTATCTAAGTTCTCTTAATTCACTCACTCCTGACAGGCTAGCCCCTGTTCCCCGCGCCCCTTACAGTGATCCTACCTTGGACGTAGAACGTAGGATCCTCGATGACTCGAAAGTCTTAGATTACGCGGATGCTTTGGTCAAGGCGCGAGGCTTAGCCCAATCTGCCGGGATACGTTGCTCTTCAACTCCTCTGGCGTCCTCCGTAATGAAAGGTGTTAAAGTCCTCGCTAGGATTGATAGGGATGGATTGTTTTACCTGGGACAAGTCAAAGACCAAGTAAGTAAGAATTGTGCAGCTGCAAGTGTGTAGTGTCGCATAAAACATTTAATTTAATTTATTATCTTAGGTCTTGTACAAATATATAACGTTTTTATATACACAAGCGCCA